AACTGTGTGCCAAATACATCTGAGTCTAGACCATATCAAAAGGACCTTGATTATTATTAACCCCAGCTTAAATAGTTGTCAAGACAACAGCATAAATAGCACTATTAACAGAAACTGCTTCTATCAAACTAAAAATCACAGTTCAAGCCTCAGTTCCATGTTCACATTTTCCAAAAACACATGCAACTCTGAATGCAAAAGAAAATTTCAAATGAACTTTGTTTGGTGTATTTTTATATTGATCCAAACAAATGAGGAAAGATATCTCTATCCTTTTCTACTTGGAAGTAGGAAGAAATAAGTTCAAGCCTTTGTTTAGCAACAAGAAGTCTATCTAAAAATACTCAGCTTCCATTTTCACTTGCAAAGCTTTCACACATACTTGCTCAGTTAATGTTCACAAGACAGACTATAGATACATTTACCCACAAATAAGATTCATTCATATATTCAACATCTCACCAGTCTTAATACCTAATTGCTCACCGCCAAAAGCCATTTTATTCATGGTGGTAAGTAAACAAATGTACGGCCAATTTCACAGGATGTTAAACACTGTGGCTCCACTTCTCTGACACAAAGTACATAAAATCTACACTAGGCAAGCCTACAGCACATTCCTCGTATATTGTCCAAAAGCAATGCACCATCATTTCAGATGCAGGATAGTATCTATATTATTCAGCTCCCTTGCCATGAGCTGTCTCTCTCAGCCAGTTTGCAGATGACACAAAGCAGGGAGGAATAGTCAACACCCCAGAGGTTTGAGCCACCAGGGACCTTGGCAGGCTGGAGAAGTGGTCCGGCAGGAATCTCATGAAGTTCAACACAGGGAAAGGCAAAGTCCTGCACCAGGGGCGGAATAACATCATGCAGCAGTACAGGCTGCAGCCAATACAGAAAAGCACCTGGGGGTCCTGGTGAAGAATAAGCGAGCCAGCAATGTGCCCTTGCAGCAAGGGAGGCCAATGGCATCCTGGGCTGCACTAGGCAGAGCGTCAACAGCAGGTCGAGAGAGGTGATCCTTCCCCTCTCCTCAGTGTCACTGGTGAGACACCTCTGGAGTGCTGTGACCTGCACTGGGATCCCCACGTCAAGAGAGACACAGACATCGTGGAGCAAGTCCAGCAAAGGGCCACAAAGGTGATTAAGGGATTGGAGCATCTGTCACAGGAGGAGAGGCCGAGAGAGCTGGGGTTGGTTAGCCCTGAGCAGAGAAGGCTCAGGGGATCTTATTAACGAGTATAAATATCTCGTGGGAGACAGTAAGGAGGAGCTAGACTTCTCAGTGGTTGCCAGTGAAGGGACAAGAGGCATTGGGCACAAGTTGAAATATAAGGAATTTCACATAAACACAAGCGGGTTTTTTTTTTAAACCATTAGAGCAGTCAGATGCTAGAACAGATAGCCCAGAGAGGTTGTGGACTCTCCATTTATGGAGATATTCAAAATGCATCTGGAAACAGCGAAGAGCAACACACTCTATTTGACCCTGCTTTAAGCAGGGCATTGGTCTAGATACATCCAGAGGTTGTTTCCAACCTCAGCAAGTCCAGTTCAAACACTTTAGAGTCACAGTGGAAGCCTGGACACAGAGAAAGGGCACCCATCCAATAGAAAAATTTTCCCTTCCTGACAGCTCATGGCCATTGCATTCTGAAATTTATTCTTCGCCTTGTTATACCCTATAGCTCCCTGAATCTTAATTTACTTTATTTTCTATTAAATTAACAATAATTTAGTTTGAATTTCCTCCGGACTTCTGCTAAAATTCATTTCATGTTGTTAAATATCCTCAAGACTGCTTTACCTTACTTTCCCAGAGGTATGGTTACAGAAGCAGTCCCTATTCTCTGTTCTTGCCACCTCTGAAAAGGTTATAGAGGTCATCATACAATTAGCTGTGCCACTTCCTCCTCAAATACTTATCTCCACGAAGCAGCCACATTGATCTAAAAGTTCCTATGAATTTTTAGAATGAAGCTTTACTGAAAATCAGGATCCAGATTTTTTTTTTTTTTTTACAGTAGTTATATATTAAGAACAAACTGAGTCCTCTTTAACAAAAGCTTAATGATCTTACTTATGCAATCTGACTTTATAGGTATATCCACATTATTTTTCTGGCAAGTTAATACATAAAACACTAAATTATAGTATATACACTCATGATATGTAAAGCAATAGTTTGTCCATTTATAAACATTGGTTAAAAAAACTAATTCATTGTTATTGCTTACTTAAGCTTTACAACTAATATTAAAATATAGTAAATAACTATTTTGGGAATACTAACAAAATAAAACCACAGAGCAATTACGTGCACTCAAAATTAAACCAAATTCTCGCAATACCAGTCTTTCATACCCTGAGTTATAGCAAACTCATTCAAGATCTAGAATAATATGCCAATCAGAGCTAGAGGCAGTTCATATGCTTTATGATTATTTCAAAACTCTTCAGAAAGTTTATTTTGCACACATATATGCGCATAAATAAGAAACATGCTTTTAATGCAATCCTTAATTTGCGTATCAGCTCAGTTTCTGAAGGGCTGGACAAGAACAATACCCTTATTGGGTATTAGTGTTTTATCTAGAGCACAGTGATACTCACAGCCTAGAAACATACTAAAACCCCATACAAAACTGACGACTTTTCCCCCTCCAAAAGAGAAAGTTAAAATGGATGTTCCAAATGAGAGCACTGGGAAAAAATGTTCATTGCATCTCATCTGGCAGACCAGTAGTACCACTCTGGGAAATCAGAGAGAACTTGGGCAGGCTGAACGCTCAAGGCTCATCTGAGATCCATGCATATCTGCTTAGCTACCCAGCTAAGGGTTTTTTGTTGTTGCTACCAGGCCCACGCGATTTTAGTGCCTCTGTGCAACATGCAACCCTCTCCACATGCTTTCCTCACCAAAAGGTGACAGTTATCTCACAATACTGCAGACAGCAAATCTATGTCCTCCCACAGCTGGTCCAGCAGCCACTATAGCAATAAGAAAACAAAGCGAACTCTGAATCTGTCAAAGACGTATCATTAGAATTACATGTGTTACAGATAATCTCGAGATCCAAGCAGAACAACGTAGCACCCACGGATACGGAGCCACTAGGTAGCCACTGAAGGAACAATCAAGAACAAAGATCTTCTATATACATTTGCAAAAATACACATACCTTCATGCACGCGCCTCTCAACGTCTCTCTTGTACCTTTTAAGTGTCAGTCAATTAAGTTGTAAAACTAAGCTACAGAAGTCCGGTATATTCTTTACCTCCATAAAAACATCTAAGAGAAGTCAGCTGTATAATATTGCCTACATTAAGAGAATTCCAGCATTGTACAATATCTATCACATTTTACAATCAAACATTTCTCAGTATGACTTGTACACTACCAGGAATAGCCAGGGTAAGTTCATGAGAAAGTAGAATGCCTGTAACGTACGTGATGCGCAGAACCATGAGACTCTACTGTATGGTCCCCATAACAGATACCACCTTTGAAATGCCAAAGCTCCCCTCACTAGCAAATGTTGATCGAAGAGCTGCCAACTCCCAGATTTTTAAGATATTAATTGCATCACAAAATGTAGCAAACCTACCTTTGCAGCGTTGTTACGGAAGACCGGAAAGTTGACACTCAATTTGCTGAAAATACTAAAAGTAGGTTTGTTTGCTAAGTGTTATCTAAATCTTTATTTCATATCATTTTTCATTTACTGGTACTACATTGAAAGCCTACGTACATGAGGACTGACTGGCCACAGAGGTAAAAAATCCTAAACGTAGGAAGTAAAACAAACAAAAAAAGTAAGAAATCAAAAGTTAAAAGGGTGGCTGCAATTGCCTGTTATTTGCAATACTAGTATTTGAAATGTTCAGACAGGAATGAATATATTGTGCAGGTAATAGGAAAGGATTTCAAAAGAGGCAGGCTGCATCTCATGGCTGAATACCTCTGCAAACAGTCACAGTGTTCCTGAGACAGGAGCATTATGAACATTTCTGCAGATTGAGAGTAACTCTCACAAACACCCATAAATGTAAAAGGACAATGAACACAAAGCAAACGGATGTAATTAGTTTTTCAATATGATTCTCAGTATTTTTTACCTTTTAAAAAAAAAAACTTTACTGCACTAGCCCAATTCCAAGAAGTCACTCTGATATCAAGTGAACTAAATAAGGTGATAGGTTACGTTTTACTATCCAATTTTTAAAACCTTTAAAAGCAGAGGTTAGACTCACTTTCTGATGCACAAATAATATAATTAATGTTTTCTTGACTTATTCAGCGAGTTACTTCAGCAGCTCAGGCTCTGATGCTGCCAGCTTTCACGGCAGCAATCGCTACCGCGTGCCAGGCACCAGAGCCAGCGAGTTTCTCTGGACTCCTGCAATCAGATACTCTGCAGCCTGAGTAAGCGTGGCAGAAGATTCACATGCTGAGTAATTTTAACCTCTCTTAATAAGCATTAAGAGCAATGATATGAGTGTATTAAGCAAAACATACATCTCTACAATATATGAAGTACCGGATATATTTTAACACATCATTAGCAAAACCAAAATCATGTAAATACAGAGATGAAATCAGAGTACAGAGGCCGCTACATACATAAAAATCAAATCCAATTTAGAAGCAAACAGGTTTGTTCAAATGGCATTGTGCAATTTCTTTAACACTTACAGGATTTAGATGAACAATATTTTCCTTCATTCACAGTCTAGTATAAATATACAACAAGGCAGCCCTTAAGCATTTTAAGTAACAAATTAAACATTTACGTTTTTTACTGTGCAGTCAGGCTTAACATTTATGCAGCTTCAAAACCAAAGTACAGCCTCAAGGGAAGCCTCTCCACTGACAAATTAATACCTTAGAGAATAGAGCTGAATGGTGGCAATGAACTCATTTGTTCCCCCAATAATGAAGAATGACTCTTTCCTGACCACAGCTGTGACTGTTGCCGTGGCGACGCAGACTCACCTCAGCGCTTCGCGAAGCGCTCCGCGCTCGCTCACCGTCGTGCGCTTGATGTCATCAAAATTATTTTCCAGCTTCTCACAGCTCTGCAAGGAGTGGAAGAACCCATGTAAGACTCCTGAGCAGTATACTGCGCGTACGTTCACGTTATTCAACGGCGCGCCAACAAAACTGATTTACAGTATATAGTCTCACAAATTATGCATTCTATTTTAATTATACAGGAGTCATTAAACGACGCTGAGAACTCAGAAACAAAGTAAGCATGAATCTTACTACATGGTTGTCATGGAAATCGTCTTATAAATGTTCCATAATGAAACATACAGAATTTTTACTCACCTTTTTTCTTTTCCTTTACCAGCATGCAAGCTTACAAAGCTACTATACACGTGTACGCACACACACGCACGCAGAGTAGCTGAGCGATACAGAAACTTGCACCTGCACAATACAAGTGTCCAGTGTCACCAAACAAGACTTTTCTGATTATCTGCATCATTCCTAACACTTAGTACTATCTTGAGGCTCCTCTAATACGTGAGGCTTTTAGGTACCCCTGTTCACTGTAGCACCTTTTTCCAATACCAAAGCTTACCTCTGGGAGGCATAATTTTGCCATGTGGCTTTAAAAGAAATTTAAGTGTAATAGTTGCTATTGCTAAGAAGCTTGAACACAGGATTGTCAGGTTCTTTATGCAGTATCTTTAAACAAAAGCTATGTGAACTGTTACTTGTTCATATTGTTTCCACAGTTTTTAATATCAGAAATAATTTTCAAGTCCACACCTTAAAGACAGTTATAAATGCAATAAAAATTACCTATTGTCATTTCTTCTGTGCATTGATTTATTTTCATACTGATATTCAATTTGAGACTACAAAAGCATTATTGGAAAGGAAATTATTAGATATTTGAAAATGACCTAGTATAAAATATTTTCAGCTTGCCCCTTATCAAATTAGCATCATTTTTAAATAAGATTATAGACTTTTTAATACAAAGTTTTAATACTTCAACAATACATTTTTGAGCAGGAGAAACAAGCAACAAACCTACAAAAGTTCCAAACGTAATCTTCTCTCCCTTCAAAAAATGATCCCAGTAATATGTTTTATCCCAAGGGTAATATGATTTTTTTTTTCCCTTTGTTTGCATTACAATCAGCTGTCCTTTGTATGGCAAAATCCTGCTCCAACTCAAAGGGATACCCAAGTAAGACAGGGAAGCCCTATAATGAAATATTCCGTTATTTAGATCTGCACGCATTGACCTTCAGCTCTAAGCGCATACAGGCAGGTCATTCATTTAAAATAAACATAAGAATTCCAAACTGACAATACTAATAAAATAAAAAAATTCTTGATTCACCAATACTAAAGCTGACAATGTCTGTGCAACCAAAATCAAGCTTCCTGTCCACCAGGAAAACAGGCTGAAAGAAACATTATTTGAAATATTGCTCTGCACCCTGAAAGACGAAAGCAAGTTTACTAAGAGCCCTGTGCCACCAGCATCTAAGCACACACGCAGAAAAACCTGAGCGTCACGCAGTTCGTTTCTCTTGACCTTGTGGTATAAGGTGTGTAGAGAATGACAGAAGGATCCATAGCACACAAGAGCTTATCACTCTGAACTACGTCCTTTCTGTCTCACACAAGCTAGAATGACTGATGCTCTCCAAGTGGAAAATGCTGAAATTAAGAGAATGTCAACATCCGTTTTGCTGATATTTCCTCCTTGTCTATATAGACCATACTGTGTTAATTAGTTGAAGGCAACAAAGGCAGTCCCCATCTGAAGAAATACTGTAATCGCATAGCCTTACACAGATAAGTATTCCTTCTCAGCCACAGACCCACTGTGGAAATGAATAGATAACCTATAAAAAACAAGACAGCAAATTTTAAAGACTCAGTAATAAATTTTATACCAATGCATTGGCAACAAGATAAACTTTTACCATTTCTGCCAACTGCTTCTAGACAATATCGCATCTACCTTTCTCAGCTTCTTTCCACCAAATAGCTCTCATCCAAGATATAACAGTTGGAGAGCCAATAACTTCACAGTAAAGTAAAAATGAACTGAAAATTGAGCTGGATGGCAAACTACTGAAGGAAGAACAGCTTGTAGTACTCTATCATCACTTACTGCATACATGGTGAACAGCGGATGGAGCAAAGGTTGAATACACCCTCCTGCTTCCCAGTTAGAGCTGCAATGATCCAAAACAATATACTGGATCCTCTCAGAGGAAAGAACAGAGGCTTGAAAGAGCAAATTTAAGCACACCTTTAAATGTCAACAGATACCACTTCTTGATGCATGTGAACATCAGCTTGGACACTTTTTTTTTTAGTACCTCTGAAAGGATATTAGGAATGGCTACTAGTATGAAGTCTTCCAAACCACACTGTAAACATACTCAAACGGTTTTAAAAAACCAGACCCACACCATACACAAACAGACTTCTCCATACACACACTAACAGGTTTTTAACAGACTTCTCATCCATAAATACTTTTTTTTAATTTTAAAAAAGAGTGCATAATCTGAAAAAACTTGTTGCCATGCGTCTGAGGCTCACTAATTTAATCCTCTACCTTCACCAAAATATGCTTTTCATAACCCCTTTCCTGAGGAACAGTGCCCTGTAACAGGCTTCCCCCATAAATATTCCTGCAGGAGCCACTAACCACCTTTCCAAGTGTGCTCCATCTATTCACATTAAGAGGCCACCTTCTGTCCAAACGGACAGAAAGAATGAAACACAGTGGAAGAAACATTTCTGAAAAAGCACAAAACAAAAAAAGTGTTTTAAAGGGAGTATGAGAATACTCTGAAGAATACAACTGGGAAATGATGAAACTTTGGTAGACCATAACCAAGACAAAAGACATGAAAATGTATGAAAACAGTAGCAAAAACTGAGTTCATTCTACTGTCCATGTTACCAGCTAGATTAATATCTATAAATATCTTGAACATGACATTGTGTTTTGGCCCATAATACTTCATAGATTTAAGTATAATGAGCAATTAAACTCCCAGATGTTCAGTTTTTAGCAGCAATTACAGTAAAAAAAGAAAACATAAGCAATGAAAAAAGTGGTTTTGGTGGCTTACTGCCAAGTGGTTTCCTGTGGGCATAGATAAGGTCTAAAAGTTTTAACACAGTGATCGAATAATTTTATAGCATCCTATATATTGTTGCTGTTGGCAGATCGATAGCACGGTATGATACCAAGCCAAACATCACCTTCAAGAAGTTTAGGATAACAGAATAAATAAATGTAGATATGATTAGGAACATGGTCATTATAAGTAAAACTACTGCTGCATGTCAAAAAGCAACAGCAATCTCTATTCTGCTTCTTAAACAATTTTAGCATAGATACTTTGAGATACTTTTAAATGAACCAAAAAGCAAGAGGGTAGGGAAGCGTTTTGATGCATAAATGGTTCATTTATCACGAGACCTGAACTAAAACTACAACACAACTAGATAAAAAGAGTGATATAGAGCGGAGGTCTACGAGTACCTGCGGCATCACACACAGCATAGTGGTGGAACATCTAATTGGAGAAGTTTGAAGATGAGGAAGAAAGACTACTGAACAAATTGAAAAGCTTTGCCTCTGATAACCGCAAAAATGATTTTTCTTTTGCTTACTGCAATCTGTACATTTTCAAAATAAAGTGCAAGCTTCAGGGGCAAAAACTGTATGCTCTTAAATCTATGTTTTCATCAGACACGGCAAGTGATAATATCTTGACGTAAGCTTTATAATACAGGATTCTGTTTCTAAAGGTCTGAGCAATGTTATCAACTACCAAGTCCAAACTACTCTTACGCTTGACTCTAGATGAAGTAACAAGCTAGGTCACAACACACAAGAGTCACCCTAATTTGAAATAAGATCCTGTGATTCTGGCAAAAGAGAAGTTGCACTCTTTAAAACATGTATCTAAACATGTGTCAGCTTAGCTTTCTTCTATATGTTTGTCTTGGATGCAAAAGCCCCCTTTCCTTTGATTTAGCCATTACAGCAGCAATTCTTGATTTGGTCTTTCAAATCGAAATACAAAACTCTCTAGAAGTAGCTCAGGAACCAAAAACAAACCACTTGCTGCCTGGTGGCACCACTGAGAATCTCCCCAGATGACAAGAGCAGCGCTGCGGCAGCTCTGGCATGCCAAGCCTAGGCAGCAGAGCTCGACAGGACCGCCATCTCGCCGCTCCAACCAGCACGTCCTCTGATATAGCACTGACAAAGAAACTGATCCCACTTTCACTGAAATCAACTTTAAATCTCTCATCTAGTCACATGAGAGCGGGATCACACTCTAAACCGTATCAGCTACTTTAACTCTATCCTGAAGTACTTACATAAGAATTTTCCAAAGTGTTAGTATTACAGATAAGGTCTTACCTACATTTCTAGTTGGCTGAAAAATAAAGTCTTTTGATCTGACAAGATCATGAGACCTATTCCAAGGCAGCCTGTATCACTGAAGTAGATCTCTTATCCTAGTTGATAAGCTGCCAAATCAAAAGCCTTACTTAAAATTCTCTCTCTCTCTCATGAAGAAAGTCTTTAGGTAAGCAGAGCTGCTGAATTCTTGGAATTCATTGCTTCCACGTGATTTTGGGAAATACTAATTTTCTTAGGAAGCCTAAGTTTTCTCCAAAACATCTGTGAAAGCAAATCTCTTATTATTAGTGAGGAATGTTCTCCGCACATCGACCATAAGCAGCACACAGCAATTCCTAACTTGAAAGATGGAACAGCTCTCACCTGTTTGCCTTGTGCTTACTGCTCTACTAACACTAAAATAAATTCATTTTTCTCTTGTTTTTCTTTAAGGCATATCCTTGATTATAGGCTTTGTTTTTCACTTGGAGATTTCCCTTTTTTTTTTTTCATTAAATACTTGATTCAAAATACAAATCACTTGCAATCTCTCCGTTTACTCATGTCTAGCTGACATGCTCCATGACACTGAAATACAGACATTTGTAGGCCATCCACATCAACTATTTTGTGTTGATTATTTTGTATTGTAAAAGTAAACTCTTC